TTTAGTTTTTATTTTTAGTAGGCTACATCTCATAAAATCCCACTTTCTGAGACAGATACTTCTTTCTAGATCCCACTACAACCACAACCCACTTTATTTTCTTATCCCTAGTTACCATCCTGAAAGGGTGCAAATTACACTGAAATCAAAAGCCTCAGCATGAACCCTGGAATAGCATGTTGATGGAGTTCACCAGGAGAAACCGAAGGTTAATCACCTACTGCAATCAAAAGGGATTTCAAGACAATCCTTAAAGAGAAAGACAATGCAGTCACCAGGAGAAAACCACCAAGGAAAAGGCGGTAATATTTCAAAACAATTACATGAAATACTTAAAAACTAAAGTGTTTTTCAAATTGTTTTAAAATACTGTTCCCAAGAAGTGACATAAAACAAAAGCCATCTAAATGCAGTACTTCACAAAAGCAAGTCAGAGAGATTAAAATAAAATCCATGAATAAAATGTCAGATTTACTTGCCTCTGTGTGAAATAAAAGCAGACAAATTACACCGCAGAGATCAAAACTAAGTGGTTATTTGTTGAAAATAAAGAGACAGATATGACAACAAAATTTACTGATATGCTTACACAGCAGATACTTTTAAAAGTATGGCTTCCTTTCTCATTGGATTCCATTATTTACTCCCTGAAAGTGATGAATCCTTCCCTCCCCTCCCACTGTTCCTGCTATAAGTTAACACACACACACACACACACACACACACACACACACACAAGCAATATAACTTACTGTGCGATTTAATGCAAAAAAAATTTTGTTAAGAAAAAAATAATCACTTTGGAGGTGAGTGTGGCACTGAGATCCCAGCATTCTGGAAACTGAGGCATGAAGGTTGTCAACTTCAGGCCATCAAGAACTACAAAGTGTCTCTAAAAGAAAAATGTTTATTTTTGTTTGTAATTACTGTTTGTATTTCTTGTTTTAGGGCATATGTTCTCAACCTATGGGCCACAACACCTTTCGTGGTGGAAGACCACAGGAGTAGCTTTGCAGACATCCTGCTTATCAGATATTTACAATCCATAATAGTAGCAAAATTATAGTTATGAAGTAGCAACAAAATAATTTTATGGTTGGAATCACCAAAACATATCGAATTGTACTAAAGTATTAATAAAGTTAAGAAACACTGTTTTAAGGGTGTTTTGTTGTTGTCTGAGGCTTTTTTTTCCCTTTTGTTTTAACCTGGCTTATTTTCTAGATAGAGTCTTATTATGTAGCCCAGGCTGGGCTAGAACTCACATTCCTCATATCCCAACCTCCTAAATTACCAGGATTAAAAGCAAGAGAGCTATCTCTAAAAGAATATTAATTAAAGGCATGGTGGCTCACGACTTTAATTTTGAGCACTCCAGAGGCAGAGGCAGGTGGATCTCTGTGAGTTGGAGGTCAGCCTGGTCTACACTGCAAGTTCCAGGCCAGCTGGAGCTACACAGAGACTGTCTAAAAAACAAACAAATCAGAGGACCTCCAATGAAACTGTCAGGTTGCCACTACCAAGATCAGTGGGCTGCACACTCTCCCACTCTGAAGTGTCTTCAGCCTTTACGCCTCCCATAAGTAACTTGTGGGTATTCCCCTAATGAAAAATTACGCTTTTCATAAGCAAAAGTGCACAGAGAACTCATTTTGATATGTATGACTCACAATCTAGTTTGTACTGGCACTATCTTCAAGCTTGCACTATCCCTACAGGGGATATGGATCTGTTCTTCCCATCTGATCTTTGCAGAATCACTACAGATTTAAAAGGATTCACTAAAAGGGCCATTAGGAAAATAATTATGAATACAATTGGCAGCACAGTCAAATGTGGGCTGTGAATTGGGATAAGGAAAAAAATTAGTATTTTGTTCAGCGTTCCCATTAGAGATCTGTATTTTCATTTGAAACTTAAAAAAAATATGGGGTTCCCCCCCAAATATTATTTGGATTTTTCCTCATTTTATTAGGCTATATGGCATTTACCGCCAAAGATCGATCAATCTCTCTCTCTCTCTCTCTGATACACACACATACACTGGAAAATATTTCGGAAAGAAGTAGCTTGCAAACTTCACTGCACAAAAAAATACACACACGCATTCTTAAGTAAGTCTGGCAGGGGTTCCTGTTATCATTTCCCCTACTCTCCAAAAAAGAACAGTAAATCTACCCACAATGAAGTACTAGTAAAACTTTTAACACAGCTATCACCAGCTAAGTAATCTATCACAGCTCCTACAAGTCTCAGGCACACACAGCAACACACCTATGTGTCAAAACAGTTATTATAAATTGAAAAATTATACAACAGAAACGTAAGAGTGGAAAACAAGCTCTCTGGATAATCTCAAGTAGGTTTTAGAGAGGATGAAAAATGGAGACAAGTTTTTAAGAAATACCATTTCCAGTAAGTGTCCATTGTTTGTATGATACTGGCTCTTTCCGAGTAACTTTACCTAACAAGATGCTCTGCCTCCCAAATGCTGGGAGTAAAGACTATATCTGACCCCACTTTCTTAAAACAGAAAGAACAAAGGTCATCCCTCAGCATGCCTGTACTTTTCTCACAAGCTTTTTTGCCTTAATCAACGACCCATGCATAAAAGACCTGCTTTCAAACGGCTCCTAACAAAATAAATATTAGGAGGCAAAGATGACCGAAATACACCCAAGGGGGCTGGCGGTGGCACATGTTTTTAATCCCAGCACCAGAAGCAGAAGCAGGTGGATCTCTAAGTTGGAGGGCAGCCTGGTCTACAGAGTGAGTTCCAGGACAACCAGGGCTACAAAACAAACAAACAAACAAACAAAAAACATACTGATTGTTGGAAAAATGATTATCCAAAACACACATATTTGAGTTCTGATTTTTCATTCATTTATTTTTAATTGCAAGTGGATTAGCTCCAAAATTTCAAAATTCTGAGGCTTTCTCAGTGAAGTCAATAGTCTAAAATTGGGATAAAAGAAACTATCCAACAGGTACAGTGGTGCACACCTGTGATTCCCAGCACTTGGGGAGGCAGAGGCAGGCTGATCTCTGAGTTCTAGGCAAACTGGTCTACAAAGTGAGTCCAGGACAGATAAGGCTACACAGAGAAACCCTGTCTTGAAAAAAACAAAAACAAAACAAAACCAGAGAGAGAGATTATCTAAATTGGGTATGGTAGTAGATGCCTTTAATTCCAGAACTAGGAAGGCAGAGGCTGGAGGAACCCTGAGTTCAAAGCCTACACATGGTCTGTTTACACAGTAAGTTCCAGGCCAACCTAAGCTACATAGTGTGAACCCCTATCCTAAAAAAGGAGGGGAGGGGTATCCATTCAACATTTCCTGTCTTAAACAAGTTAGTAATTAAAAGTAAACTTAAAACAACAAATACACAAATCTTGCACAAAAATCCTGGGATGTTAGCACTCTAAAGTTACTAGAAAGAAAGACTCTTCCACGAAAAAAAGGCTTTTCCACCAAAAGAAAAGAAAGAAAGGAAGAAGAGTGCCCAGAAACAAATGTAGTGGTCTGCTTGCTCTGGAAGTCATTTCATAATGGAGAAAAATTAATTATTGTATTGGTTATAAAAAGAATTTCTAAATCTCCCAGAAGAGCTACACTTGCATAGCCCAATGTTCACTGACAGAGATGTTAGTTCTCTGTTGAGCTAGAAGCAGCTGTTTGGTTCGCACACAGGAAGCCAGAGGAGGGAATGCCGTGTTCAGAGCCTCTAAATAACATGCGTTAGTTAAGAACTGCCTGCTACTAAACCAAAATTGTTCAAGCAGAGCCCCATTTGTCACAATCCAGTCATAAGGGTTCCACCAACCCTCCCCCAACTGCTTGTGTAGTGGTGTATCTGCTTGGGTAAAGAAGCCATCATCGGTAAAGATTGGGGTGGGAGAAAAAGCGGGGGAAAGGGGGCACCCTTTCATCTAATTTCGCGAGGCATGAGTAATTGGTACAGTTGAGAGGAACGATGGAACGTTCTATTTATTGGAGGTTGGAGTAGGATGAGGGGGTGGGAGAATTTCGTTTAAATCAACATGGCCAGCAAGATGTCCCCAACAAACAAAAGGCAACGGGGGGATATAAACACGAACCATTCACCTCCATCAGCTATAGCATCGCCATCATGGTGTGTGCAGAGACCCCCAAGGCTGCTCTCACCCGCCACTCCAGCGACAGTAAGAGAGTGGAGAGAGGTGGCCGCATCCCTGCCACCGCTCCCAAATGCACACTGTTCCAGCGGGTTGCTCCCCCACCCACTCCGGTGGCCCGGAATCAAGAGAGAAACACTAACGTCCCGCCGGGCAGACTCCCCCTGCAGCCCCTCGGCCGACCCCCAACGCCGGCTCCGGGCTCGCTAAACTTTCCGAGAGCTTCTCCCCCGCGTCCCCCAGCCGATCGCCCCACGATCGCGCATCCCCACCGGCCGGGCACCCACTGACAGGCGGGCAGCGGCGGCAGGCGGGCGGGGGCGCCTGGGCGCCGCGGAGGGGCGGGGCGGCCGGAGCCAAGTTCCCGGGGGTCCGAGCGCAGCGCTGACAGGAGCCCGGGACTGCGAAAGAGGAAGAGGAAGCGGCGGCGGGGCAGTTTTCCCGATCCCCCCCTTCCAAGCGCACCCTACCCCCTCCCGGCCCCCGGCAGCCGGGGCGGGGGGGCGGGGAGGCGGACTGCAAGGTGAGGCAGCCGGGCCGGGGACCGCCGCTGCCGCCACGTCCCGACTCACTCTCTCTTCGCCCCGCCACCCCCGCCAGAGGCGCCCACAACAATAACACGCCGGGGACGACCCGTCAGCGCCCCCGAGCCACCCGGGGCCCACGGCCCGCCGCAGCCAGGCCCCCTCCACTGAGGCCCGCAGCGCCTCTCCCGCCTGTAACTCCAGACCCGGGTGGAGCCGGGCCGAGCGTCCCCCCCAGGGTCCGACCCATCCCCCCCGGCACCAGCGGCGCCGTCTCCGCGGCCGAATATTAGAAGTGAATTCGAGCTGCGCTTTACCTTTAGTTCCGCACTGTCCGCCATCTTGCGTCTGTCAGCGCAAGCGCAGTGAAGCTCGCCGGGGACCGCGCTGGACCCTCCCCTCTAGCCGACTTGACTCCGCCCCGTCCCGCCCCTCGCCCTTCTTGCCCCGCCCCCGGCCTCCGCCCCACTCCCGGAGCTCGCCGCCCCGCCCCGGGCACGCACAGCTGCGAAACCCGCACGTACTATTTAAATAATGGCGCCAAGCAGGAGTTTGACAGTTACTGCCCCCTCGGCCTCCCCGCCCCCAAGCTCGGCCCGGCCAGGAGCGCCCCGGCGAGAGGCCGCAGCTGGCGAGGTGTGGCCCTTCGGCCGTCCTCTGAGCCGCTGTTGTCAGAAGCCACACCACAACGCCCCCCATCCGCAAGATGCGTTCTGCACCTGCACCCTACGCGGCTGCGGGTGGGCCACGATCAGCCTTCTTCGTTGAAAGGGAATTTGAGGAAACGTTTCTGGGTTTGTTGACGCAGATCCTCATGATCAGCTAGTGAGGTCGTCAAAGAAAATGTTCCCACGGTATCTTTTCCAAAATAAAAGCTCAGAGGGGGAAAAAGGGACTCGCCCAAATAGCATTTAACAGGCGAGGCCTAAGACAAATTCTGCTGACGTCCATTCTCATCGACTCACCCTGGGCGGTCGAAAATTAGACAAGATCTCTCTCCTTCTGTCGCTAAAGGGGACCAGATCTGTGGACTAATAAAGACATAATTACTAACGGTGATAAACAGCATTGGACCAAAGGGCTCACTAAGAGAAAAGTGCTTAATCCCAAGAGGGTGTTCTCCAACTACCTTAAGATTTAGACTTGAAGAAAGATTTTTTTTTTCATACCTACTCCTCTCTTCTAAAAGCCTCCTCTGCTTCCTGCAAAACCCCAGCCTTTTCTTACTGATCAACTTCTTACTATCAAGATCCTCTTGATATTTGGGTTATTTTCACTCCCACATTCCCAAAGTTTTTACTTCAGTATTCTTAGTTTCCCACCACCCCTTTTTCATTGAATCGGCATATAAATACACCAAAATTCCTCTTACTTAATTTCAAACTTCCTTTGAATCCAAAATTGTCCTCAGTGGCTACTCTAATTCTCTCCCTCACTGAATGACTTCTCAAACAGGCTTCATTTTTCTATAATACTGTTCCCATTTCCTCAGTGGCACCGACCTCTCAGCCTAGCCTGATGAAGCTTAGACTGTCATTATCTTGACCACTTACCAAGATGACTGTTCTTCTACCTCTTCCTAAAGCTCACTGTCAGTTCCCCAGGTCTTATCTAAGTTGGCTAGAGGGAACTACTAACAGTTGATGTGCTTGCTTTCTCTTGAAACACATTTCTCCAGGAACTTTCCTCCACATCACTGTCACTGTCCACACATTCCATCATTCCACTCCTGTTTCTTCGCTGGACAGGTCTCTCTCTCTCTCAATCTGTCTCTCTCACTCTCTTCCCTTCCTCTCCCTCCACTGTTTCTCTTCTGGGTCTCACTATGCAGCCCTGAAATTTGCTATATAGACCAGGCTAACCTTAAACTCAGAGATCTCTTGCCTCTGCCTCTCAGAGGGGTTAAAGGCATGCACCATCTTGCCCAATTTTGGCTTAATCTTTAAATACTGGAGAATGTGGCACACACCTTTAATCCCAGAACTCAGGAGGTAGAGGCAAGGTGGATCTCTATGAGTTCCTGGCCAGCTTGGTCTATAGAGCTAGATCTAGGACAGCCAAGGCTTCAGAAAAAGACCCTGTCTCCAAAGAAACAAGGAGGGAAGAAAGAAAATTGGAGAATCTAGGACTCAGTCTGTGACTTTTAGTCAACCATCCAGAGCTATCATTTAATTCTGACTTTTGGTATATATATTATATATCAAAAATTATATATATAATATATGTATTATATATAAAATTATTTCAAATATATGAAGCTTAGACTTCCTCACCAAATCCTAATCCAAGCAGGCCTAGCACCCTTTGTAGCTCTCCAACACTGCAGAAAACTGGGAATGGTGGTGCGTGCACGAAATCCCAGTAGTTGGGAGTTTCAGTTTACAAGAGATCTTATCTCAAAAGAAAAAAAAAAATGGTTTGTTTCGTTTTTTCGAGACAGGGTTTCTCTGTGTAGCCTGGACTGTCCTGGACTAGCTTTGTAGACCAGGCTGGTCCCCAACTCAGAGATTTGCCTGCCTCTGTCTCCCCTAGAGCTGAGATCACAGGCAGGGGCCACTGCACCCAGCTCAAAAGAAATGATTTTATTATTTTCTTTTTGTGTGTTTTAGAGAAACTGATTGGGGTGCAGGCCTTTTATCCCAGCATTCCAGGCAAAGAGAGGCAGATTTCTTGTGAGATTGAGGCCCCAGGCAGTTTCAGGTTAGGGCTACAAGTGAGGCCCTGTCTCAAAACTGCTTAATCAATTAGTTAATTAGTTAAAGAGGTTGACTCATGAATGTTGCTAGCTACCTAGTAGCACTTCCACATCTCATCACCTCACATTCATCCTGTCAAGGAGACCCTTGGCCCTAGTCTTGCTCCTTTCCCAATAGTCTCACTATTACCCAGTATTCATTCAGCTTTCAAAGTAAAAGTCAGGAAAGCATCCTTAGTCCTTTCTTTTCGTTTATGTCCAATAGGTTTATTTCCAGAGGTTCCATAAGTCCAGCTGAATCCTGATATTAAAATATATCCAAGCTAGCCTATTTTGTTGAGCCTTCGTCACAACCACTACTCTCTTCCAAACTGATGCAGTTTTGCCCCTGCAGGGAGGACTGCCTGATTGACAGGGTCTCGCTTTGGCTTTCCTGATCCCCAAGCCTTTTTGCCTTCTCAGGCCCTGTATTTGGAGCTGGCCATGATAGTGAAGGCCTGTAATCCCAGAACTCGGACCACACTCACTAACACCTGAATGTGCAATGCAAAGATTTAATCCCAACATTTGGGAGATGGGAGGGCTGAGGCAAGAGTCGTTCCAAGAGTTCAGGCTAGCCTGGGCTACATAGTAAATTCTAGGTCAAATTGAGTTATATTGGAAGAATCTGAGCTGAGATGGTAGCACATGCCTTTAATCCCATCACTCAGGGAGGCAGAGGCAGATGGATAATTGTGAGTTCAAGGGCAGCCAGATCTGCAATGCAAGTCCATGACAGTCAAGGCTACACAGAGAAACCCAGTCTCAAACAAAACAAAACAAAACAAAACAAAATCTATCTATAAGTAAATAAATAGCCAGGTGAGGTGGCCCAGAACTGAAAATCCCAGTACTTGGGAAATGGAGGATCAAGAGTTCAAAGACAGCCTGTGCCACACAAGTTTGGGGCCAGTTTGCCCTACAAGAGGCCTTGCCTCAAAAATAAATATTTAAACAAAATTTGGCTGTTGCACCTACTTTCAGGCACAAAACTCCTAAAACTCCCAGGAATTTCCTTATAGGTTTGTCTTTTGTTATTCCTAATGAGTACTTCCCTAGTACACCGAGTATGTTAATCAGGTGATTCAGGCTGAGCTCCCTCAAGAGCTGGAGGGGATCCACAAAGATTTTTTTTTCCTAACTCTTTTAAAAATAGTGCCACTCACCCACGATATGGCTCACGCCTATAATCCCACCACTCAGGGAGGCAGAGGCAGGCAGATCTCTGTGAGTATGAAGTCAGCCTAGTACACAAAATGAGTCCAGACAGCCAAGGCTACACAGAGAAACTCTGTCTTCTCGAAAAACCAAAACAAACAAACAACAACAAAAATAGTGCCACTCCCTATGGGCCACGCTTCAAACATATGAGTGTATGGATGCCATTTTTATTCAAACCACCGCAGTCCACTCCCTAAACCCCACAGTCTTTTAGCTACAACATAATGAGAAATGCAACTAATCCAATTTCAAAAGTCTTCATAATCTGCCACAGTCTCAACAATGTTTAAAAGTCCGAAGTCTCTTCTAAAATTCATGCAGTCTCTTAACTGTAATCCCTTATAAAATCAAAATCAAACAGCAGATCACATACTTCTGGCGTACAATAGCACAGTATCATTTTCTAGCAAAATCTCAGTTATTCAGTTTTACCAATAAAGACTCAGGAGCCCGATGCTGTGGTAAAAGCCTGATAGCTCAGAGACAGAGAAAGCACCAAGCTGACCTTCCTCCTCAGCCAGTGTTCCTAAAAGGAAATCCTTTTCAAATGCCATTTCAAAAAAAAAAATATCCTTTAAACTGACTGTCTCTCTCTCTCTTTTGCTTCCTGTTTGTCTCTCTATCGTCCTCCTGATTTCCTCTTTTTCTGTTTTTTCTTAATAATCCTATGTTTACTTCCTGTAAACTGGTTGCTTGCTCCTCTTCTTGACCTATAGTTGACTTTATTAAATCCTGTTTGCAATATTCAAGCATAAAACTCTTGTATTAATGGTGTATGCTAAAGCCGAGCCACACCACAACTAAAAACAGGTTTTTCCAGTAAATAACACAATCTCAGTGTTCACAGTGTGATCAAATATCCTGCAGCAGCACAAAATATATTATTACCTCTCCTAAATGGAGGAAAAGGACCAAAAACAAGACCAAAAACCAGGTGGGCAAACTCCAAACTCTGCATCTCCCTGTGCGATGTCAAAATGCTCTTCAGTAGCCAGGCATGGTGGCACACACCTGTAATCCCAGCACTTGGGAGACAGAGGCAGGAGCTCCATGAGCTTGAGGCCAGCCTGGTCTACAGAGCGATTCCAGAACAGCCAGGACTACACAGAGAAACCCTGTCTCAAAAAAAAAAAAAAAAGAAAAGAAAAGAAAAAGTACTTATTGTTATTGTATGTGTATGGATGTTTGGCCTACATCTAGTATGTACACCATGTATATGTTCAATGCCCATGGGTGCCAGAAGAGAGCATTAGATGCCCCAGACTTACAAACAGTTGTAAGCCACCACATGGTTGCTAGGACTGAAACCCAGGTACTCTGGTAGCACAGTAAATGTTCTTAACTACCGAGCCAGCTCGCTTAAGATTTTTTTTTTAGAACAGTATATGAAAAAAAACACAACCATAAAGGGGGAG